GCGAGAGCTCGAACTCGCCTCCTTCCGATGACATTGAGGATTTCGTACCTGCTCCGATCCCATCGGTTCGAAAATACGCTCCAGTCGTTAGAAAGAAAAGATCGACATCAGATGTATCTGACAAGCTACCCCAGCCCAAGAGACAAAGGAAACAAGTTGAGACAACTCAACCCCCTGTTGATCACCTTTACTCGGCCAACACGAACACGGCGCAACATCCCAAGAGGAAAACTAATGCGAGAACTACGGGGAAAAAACGTGAGTACTTTTGAACTTTTTTTTGTAATTTTCATACACGTATTTTCATATACATGCATACACATTATGTTTGCGATTTTATTCCTCGGCCTTGGCCCCTATAAAATTTTTGTATTTTACTTCCGGTTTTCGAATTTTCCCTCCGATTTTCCAACTTTTTTATATGTACCTTTTTGTTCAATTCCGACGAATGTAATTATATGATGATTTTCACGTAGCACATAATCGCACAAAATATCCATACAAGTATACGCGGATAAACAAGAAAGCCTCTAGGCGACATTTGCAGTCTGCATATTATTTATTCAAAAATGATCTGGCTTTTCATACAATTTTGATATATTTTGCAATCGAATAGAAATGAAAAATGTTTCGCGTTTTTTGTTGCAGTGAAACTTCGTTTACCAACTAAAAAGGCCCCAAAGGAACCTGCATCTATCTGTCAGAAAGAGTTACTGAGTGTCGCGCCTCTCATTGAGGAAAATGAAAAAGTCATTATACGCCCAGGATACTCATGCGATGAAAAATATGGAGAAGCAGAAAGGCAAAAGGGACAAAAACATAATTTCAAAAAACCTTCGATTGAAGAAAAGTACAATAAANGAACGAAATTTGACAAGAGTTTGTTTTAAGTTTTTTAAATACTAATGGTATGAGTTATTTTGAAATTTTTAAAATTCAAGTATCATGTTATAGGTATTAAGTTCTACTTTCAATAAGTAAATTGATTGAAATACTTTGAACTGTAAAGTTCAGAAAAATGCTTTATCCAAAAACTATATAGTGTACTGTAGTAAATGGAGCATTATTCTTATATTGATTTTAATGATTTCAATAGACTGTAAGTAATAAATGAATCGGAGAATCCTGAAACAGTCAATTGTAATAATATGAAATGAATGATGGTGCTGTAGTTAAATAAATATCATGTATCTAACTAAATTTTTACGTGCGTAAAAGATTACGCATGTTTACATAAAATTTATTCGGACATATAAGTCTACAAGTGCTTTAAGGAAACAGTACCTCGCATTGTTAATAATGCAAATATAAGTAGTGTAAAAATAATAAATAGATACCGATTTTTATGAGAAAATATAATACGAAAAAAATTTTCTCAAACAAACTCTATGTCATTTAGAATTTTGCCAAATACTATAAGAGATGAATGAAGCATAAATGTTTTAGGACATTTTGAAATTTTTTGTAAATAAATATACTATAGTACCTGTTTGTATTTTTATAATATAAATACTATTTTATTAATAAAAAAAACAAAACCGTAAAGATTTGAACATTTTTATTTAATCTATCCTAAAATTGAATTTCAAATAGCTGGATAAAACGAAGCAAATTCGTACACAAAATCCTAGAGATTTTCGAGTTTTGGGTTCAAAAATCATACTTTTCTACAGATCTCGAGGGCTATTTGGAGTTTCGTGTACAAAATGAAACATTTAGAATACGAATTCTCCCTTGAACAGTCAAACTCATATTTCAAATTTAGCTCTCAATTTTTTTTCTGAGCCCGAAGCTCTCTTGAAAAAGTCTTTTTATTATAACGCATGTACATATAAAATACCAGTCTCATTATAGAGAGAACATGATGGTAGCTTAGTCATGTCAAAATTTATTGACGCAAAAATCACGATTTTTCCTAATATGCTTACAAAAAATTCAAACACATATGATAAAATATCATAAGTGGCAAAACAACAATGTCATAACAATTTGAATATTATTATTTCATACATCCTAAATCGATTCTTAAGACACTGCGTACCAATGACAGAACAAAATTTGTAGGAAATCATATTCTCATTACAATGCAATGAAAAAAAAAATTGCTAGACCTTTAGTTTAATAACAAATGCGAAATAACTTTGGTTGCTGGAAAATAATTCAAATGGTTTTATTTTCGTGAAAAATGCATCTATAGGCTCGAATTTAATTGCTATCAAATCCTCATAAATTGCTAGTATAGAAAAATCAATTTTGGAACCGCTGAATTGTAACAATAATAAAATATGCAAAAAATAAAATTTTACACATCGGAAGCATAGCCCAATAAACATTGCGTGGAAATTATATTAAAGCACGATCTGGCACGGAGTGCCATCACGACGAGCAGTCACAATGCTGTCAACGTGTCGTCTTCGGCACGCTGCGTGCATTTTGCCGTCACGGCGTGCAGCCAGATTTTTTGGGCGACAGTTAGAAAATGGCACTTTCCCGGCACATTGTCAGCACGGCGTGCCGCAGTACGCCATGTCAAATTTGTGACGCCAATATGCGGCGGCAGTAGGACGTCAAAATGCTAGCATGAAATGAGACCGTGCTGACATCGTGCCGTCATTATGCCAACACTTTGTTAGCTGGGCAACTGCCGACAAGAGTAGCGTGCAGCTTGATCGACGGTCGTTAGTCATGACTGGTAGCGACCTCCCCCGCCATCGGTGCTAAGCAAGTAGGAGAAGGCGAGACGTAAGTGTCGTGTGCGTCTGCTATATTGCTTGTTACTTAAAACCGGCTTGAGCAAGTTGAAGAATTTATATGAAAAATTGTTTGACAGTATAAGAAATAATGAATTCGTCCAAAATGTTGCGAATGTTGTTGTTGAACGATACGATTCACCATCGCCTTTGTCAATCGTCGAGTTTTAGAAGAACGTTTCTGTCGGAGGCATACGCTTGTCAAGAGGCTTGGGACAAGAGGCTACAAACTCCACTTTTAAACAAAATCAAGCCTGTCGACTTCTTCTTGGAAATTGACAGAAGATTTCAGAATGAAATCAAAGTGCATCCTGTGGATATTGATATTTTTGCTAATGTTATAAGAGATAACAGTCACATCGATGAATTGTCGGATGTGCTATATAAACTGAGAATGACAAGAGAGACGTCCTGGACATTGCCCTCGACCCATCATGCAGTTGTTAGGTATTATTTGAGTGTAAGTAAAGTATATTGTATTTTTATACTTTTTAGTCGATTACAGATAAAATTTATCAATTTACATTAATGACAATAATCATTTCTACAGGTTGATGACATCAATTCTTTAATGACAATCTTAAACGACAGACTGAATTATGGTATATTTTGTGAATATTTTGACTATAACTTGATAATGGATTACTGCATTAAAAAAGAAGATTATGCCAATGCTGCTAAAACATCAACATTTATGATGCTTCAAGAGGAATTTGAGAATCCCCTCAGTAATGCTTTGGCTTTGTACTCTTGTTTTAAATACTTGGAAAATCCTGATACATGGGTGGAAGAAGATCCACAAGTTAGAAAAATGAACAATGAACCCAAAGAAGAAGTCAAAATAAGGGTCAAGTATATCATAAACCCCTTTTTTGATGATCATTTCGATCTATGGAAACCATCAGACTTGATTGGCAAAACATTGCTTGGTATTGGTCGAACAATTGATACTCCCTTGGGAAGATCTGCTCAGTTACGAGGAGCAGTTCTATACAAAAAATATGATCAAATAATTCCAGTAGTAAAACAATGGTTACAAGATGGAAAAGATGAAATTGTCTATAAAGAAGTCATTTCACTAATAAAACAAGATGCACCGGCCCTTTTTGCAGAAGATTCTAAAGAAAAAGGAAAAACTGAAACCGAAGTACAAAAACCTGGAGAAATGGCATGTGAGAAAAAACAATTTGAAGAACAACTTACCAAAGATGGTAAACAATTGAAATCACTGCTTTTAGATTTAGAGAAAACCAATCTATATCAAGGAAACATAATAGAAGATTTTGAAAAGTTGGTGAAAAAATCTGTAGAATATCATGCTGAACAAGATATAAAAAATCAAAAAGAGGTAATATTTATTTATTTTTGATGAAGATTTTGTTCAACATTCTTATTTCATTTTTACTATTTACTTTTATATTTATTTTCATAGATATATGAAAAATGGGAAGCTCATAGAATTAATGTACTTGAGACACATAAGGACGAAATTGATAGGCAACAAAGATTAGAGAAAGTGGAACAACTTAAGAAAGAACTTGAAGAAAAAGAAAAAGTTCTTACATTCTTTGATAAGCAGGATCAAATTGAGTTAGAAATTGAGACAAAATTGAAAGAAGAAAAATTGAAATATGGTAAGGATCTCAAGAAATTAGGTAGAGATAGATTTGAAGGTGTTGAATATAAGCAGACCTATAAAAAAAAACATGACTTCTAATCTTTTTTAATTTGTTGAATCTATAAAAAAATTTTGTAAATTGATAGTAAAAATAGTATTATTATATCTTGAAATGTTCTCAAGTACCTTCATGTGGTGCTGATGTTTGTTTTTGATTAATAATAACATTATTTGTAATTTATTCTGCTGTTTTACTCATTTTTTTTCATTTTTAAAATACGTTTTTTTTTATATACATTCATGTATAGTTACTGTTCAATATTTACATACAAGTCAAAAAATATATGTTTACAGTACTAGAAGCAGTTGTACAATGTATTAACAAAAAATATTACTTAACTTATATGTATCAATTACGTCAAATTAGTCCTCCATATTTTATTAGATTAAATTTTTCATAATATGTATAAAAATTATTTACACGTTATGAACTATTTATTCATGCACATGGGTGAGTAAAAATGATGGTTACCTTATGTATCAAGCTCTAGTGCATAGGAGAAACATACAGTATGAAAACTGTTATTATGCAATAATTTTGAGTTATTGTGTGAAGGCACAACATGATTTCTACGCCCATATGTTGTACAAAGAGACACGCCAAGATCAATAGCAATGAAGTGATTATTATTTGCGATGCATTGGAACAAGTTTTTATCAAAGTGATTCCCAATCATGAAATTTTATTCTGTAGTTGAGCTTTCAAAGCTGCAGTTTCTTGTCTCATTTGTTTTAAATCAGCTGTAATTCTTTCCAAATTAGGCCCAATATTTTTCGAAGACTCTGATTCAATCTTTAATAAAATATATTTTTTCATTTTTTATCATATATATGGGTCAAAATAATACTTTTTTACAAAACCGTGCGCACGTATGTCACCGATCTTGACACGCTTTTGGTATGTTATAGTACATGGTAAAAAGGTCCCAAAAAAAAATTTTTAGACCCCCTCCCCCCTCCTACCCCCCACTTCCGGTATAAACGTCCATTTTCGATCTATATTTTTTCTGAGGACATGAAGCAAGTAAAAAATCTGAAAAAATTCATAAAAATACTTTTCCACAATCCAAACAACCTTGAATTTTTTCAGATTTTTTGAGTGCTTCAGGCCTTCAGAAAAAATTATTGAAAATTTCAAAAATCGAGATACGGCGGTATGAGCCGATGTAGTACTCGGAAATTTTTTCAGTTATTTTTCGCATTAAAAAACATAACCTCAATTTTTTTCAGATTTTTTCAGATTACCTAACGCACCTTTTGAAGCCAAAAACCGATTTTTTTGACGAAAATAATTTTTTTAGGACAGTACGGAGCCTCGAAAAATCTGAAAAAAATTTTTTCTTGTTTTTTTCATCAAAATACGTAATCTCAAATTTTTTCAGATTTTTTAATTGAAGGCGATAGCTTCTAGGGCCGAAAAATGCTATTTTTAACAAAAAATGGTTCCTAGAACCCGATGGTTCCGGTGAAAAAATTTGAAAATATTTTTTTTGAATTCCTTGTCAAATTTTAATAAATTTTGACCGTTTCAAAAGTTCGATTGAAGCTTCCTAGCTCATTTTAGAGCATCAAACGAGTTTTATCATTCCTTAATGTCTTCAGAAACGTCTTCAGATATTTTGCACTAATCTTTGTCCTGCTCTAAAATGAGCTAGGAAGCTTCAATCGAACTTTTGAAACGGTCAAAATTTATTAAAATTTGACAAGGAATTCAAAAAAAATATTTTCAAATTTTTTCACCGGAACCATCGGGTTCTAGGAACCATTTTTTGTTAAAAATAGCATTTTTCGGCCCTAGAAGCTATCGCCTTCAATTAAAAAATCTGAAAAAATTTGAGATTACGTATTTTGATGAAAAAAACAAGAAAAAATTTTTTTCAGATTTTTCGAGGCTCCGTACTGTCCTAAAAAAATTATTTTCGTCAAAAAAATCGGTTTTTGGCTTCAAAAGGTGCGTTAGGTAATCTGAAAAAATCTGAAAAAAATTGAGGTTATGTTTTTTAATGCGAAAAATAACTGAAAAAATTTCCGAGTACTACATCGGCTCATACCGCCGTATCTCGATTTTTGAAATTTTCAATGATTTTATCTGAAGGCCTGAAGCACTCAAAAAATCTGAAAAAATTCAAGGTTGTTTGGATTGTGGAAAAGTATTTTTATGAATTTTTTCAGATTTTTTACTTGCTTCATGTCCTCAGAAAAAATATAGATCGAAAATGGACGTTTATACCGGAAGTGGGGGGTAGGAGGGGGGAGGGGGTCTAAAAATTTTTTTTTGGGACCTTTTTACCATGTACTATAACATACCAAAAGCGCGTCAAGATCGGTGACATACGTGCGCACGGTTTTGTAAAAAAGTATTATTTTGACCCATATACATAATAATAATAAAGAATTTTTTTACGTACTTGTTCTTCCAAATCTCTAATTTCTCTAATAGTTGCCCCAGTTTCTTGAACTAAACTAACAATTTCATTGCAATCTCCATGCAATGTAGCAAGTAATTTATATGCCCTCTTCGATATATCATTTGAACGTGCATCACGAAATATCATATCATCGACAATGGCAAATGATCTTTCTAACTTTCCTGTAAGAGTATTAATTTCTTTCTGTACTTCACGGGTATCAGCTAATACTTTATCAATTTCATCTTTTTGTTTCTTTATATTGTTTATAATTTCCAGTATTCTCTGAGTGTATGGTGCTCTGTTAATTTCTTTTGGCAATTTTTGAACTTCACTTACAAGTTGTGAGTACTGTTGTTCTTTATTTTTACATTCTTCAAATAGTTCTCGTTCTTTAACTCTTAAAGCTCGCAACTCATCAAGTTTTTTCTGACTTGCACTCTGAAAAAAATAAAAATCATTAAAAAAGGAAAACATCGATTTGGTAATTTTTTTTTACTTACAGCCTCAGATGAATATTTTTCTTTTTCTTTTCTATATTGTTCTATCAAAGGAAGTCTATGCTTTTCCCATTTATTAGCTAAATTTATTAATTTATTAATTTGTGCTTCAATAGCTGTTTCCAGTTTGTTAACATTTTCTCCCCCATTCTCAAGTAATTCAAATGCCTTAAGTTTGTATTTACTTTCTTGTTCTTGATTCGTTAAATTTCTGGCTTCTGATTCTTCCATGGCTGTCATTTTATTAATTTCAAAAGCTATATTTGTAATTTCAGTTTGCAATTCTTCAATGGTAGATTTTAATTTATCAGATTCTACTTTGAGTTTCTTTTCTCTGATAATATTTTCATCCTCTTTCTCTTCTTCTGGACTTATAGACGCAGATGTAGCTAAGTCCCCATTACTTTTGGATCCTGGAATGCCCATCTGAGATATTAATCTATCTAAGGAGTAAATATCACAATCTGATGTATCGCTCTTTGTTCCGTACTTTTGTTGATTCAACCATTCAATTTTTTCTTCAGTTGTCATGCAATATTTTAGTTCTTCTCTGCTATTTGCTGCAATGATTGAAGGCAAAAAATTCTTTGAATGTGGAACTTGCTCTAAAAAAGTTTTCTCATAATGTATTGCATAATCTTTATACTCTGCAATAAATGAAACTCAGATTTAGTTTTCAATACTTAAGCAAAAGCCTTGAGTAAATGTAAAAATTTTTACCTTCATTGTCTTCACTTTTAGGAAAATTTAAATTTATTGTTGAAAATGGGTTGCTAGCTCTGACATCAAATTTGGATCTTTTTTTGTGGCAATAATATGGTAGCCATGGAACAGAAAGTTTTGATGATACAGAAGTTGAAACCAATTTATCAATTTGTTCACTTTTTGTTATAGGTTCTATTATAGTTTTATCATTTTCTTTTGGAAATTTCTCAATTAAAAATATTAGTACTCGACGTAAATCAGCTTCAGACTTATATAAAAATGTTTGATATCCAACGTCACCTTTGTATCCAAGATCCTATAAATTAGAAATCCAGATTGAAATAAAATTATTTTGTCGCTCAGTAAATGATTATAAACAATTAAATATCTATACCGTAACAGCTTGAGCTAACAGCATGCCTATTCGAAATCTTGCTGCCATATTTTCTGGTAAAACAGGGTTTATCCCTAATTCTGGTTTTATAATTTCTAAACATCTTACAGTTGCTTGAACAACGAGTTCAGTATTAAAACTAGATAAGGATGATATATTCTCCTCTACATCACTTAAAAGTTAAATATGGTTCATTGATACATGGAAAAATGGAGAAGTAAAACATAAGGACTGATTAATATTTACCAGCCTATTTGACGCAAAGAATGTATGATGATCTTATCAACCTCTTCCATGATAATTGATGTAACTGCCCATATATATAATTACAAATTTACAAAACACAGTATAAAAATATAACCTAACGAATCGGTTTGTTCTGCACCATATCCGAATTATTTGTTGCTATCGAGGATTTTGAAAAAATTGCAATGGCAACGAGACGCACAGGCTCAAAATCTCATGACCGATTAAAATTTAAACGACGAACAATAACTATAGAAAAATAATCACACTTGATTGATGCTCGATGTGTTGATAGCAGCTCCGCACACCGATGTTGTTCTCGGGGCTCTCACCAACTGCTTTTACAATATATGGCCGATTCTCTGTGAAATCGAATGGCCAAAAAATTTTTTTTTCTGCAAATATGAATAACTTGCTGTTCCCGATGTCAGAAATGTCCCCAAATTTTATTAGAATTTTTGGGACCATCTATCACTCTTTTTCAGAGGCCCGAAGTTGGCCATTTTAGGGTTTTTTTGAAATTCATGAAAAATCACAAATATTCAAATAACTCCTGGATCAGGGTAGAATGATTCAAAAGTAAAAGAGCCCAGCAACTTTTTTGTTGGAAAGTGTCCAAATTTTCAGAAAAAAAATATGCCAAAGTGATTGGAACAATCTAGGTAAGTGTAAAGCAAAAAAACTGCCAAAGGGACATAAATGATGAAATCTAATCGAGTTCAAACCGGACTTTCATTTCCTAAACTATGTAAAAAGCTTCCCAAAGAGGTCAACTAATGCCTGATAAAGTTTTGTAATGGGTCTTAAAGTTTAACGCAATGTAGACAACAATGTATGGCGAAAAATGTGCAAAACAGGCCTGAAAATGGCTGTTTTTGGTGATTTTAGGCATTTAAGGCCTATTTTTGACCTTTTTTGCATGTTTTTCGCCACACATTGTTGTCTACATTGCGTTAAACTTTAAGACCCATTACAAAACTTTATCAGGCATTAGTTGACCTCTTTGGGAAGCTTTTTACATAGTTTAGGAAATGAAAGTCCGGTTCGAACTCGAGTAGATTTCTTGTTTTGTGTTTTTTTTTTTATGTTTTCCCACTAGTATGTATTTAGGTGGCTCCAATCACTTTGGCATATTTTTTTTCTGAAAATTTGAACAATTTCCAACAAAAAAGTTGCTGGGCACTTTTACTTTTGAATCATTCTACCCTGATCCAGGAATTATTTGAATATTTGTGATTTTTCATGAATTTCAAAAAACCCTAAAATAGCCAACTTCGGGCCCCTGAAAAAGAGTGATAGATGGTCCCAAAAATTCTAATAAAATTTGGGGATATTTCTGACATCGGGAACAGCAAGTTTTTCATATTTGCAGAAAAAAAAATTTTTTGGCCATTCGATTTCACAGAGAATCGGCCATATATTTATGGGTAAAGCTCAGAATTTTTTAAATAAACCTGCGCTCGTATGTCACCGATCTTGACGCGCTTTTGGTATGTTATAGTACATGGTAAAAAGGTCCCAAAACCAAAATTTTAGACCCCCTCCCCCCTCCTACCCCCTCCACCACTATAAACGTCCATTTTCTATCTATATTTTTTCTGAAGGCCTGAAGCAATGAAAAAATCTGAAAAAATTCACGAAAATACTTTTCCACAATCCAAACAACCTTGAATTTTTTCAGATTTTTTAATTGCTTCAAGCCTTCAGAAAAAATATAGATAGAAAATGGATGTTTATACCGGAAGTGGGAGATAGGAGGGGGGAGGGGGTCTAAAATTTTGAAGATAATTGAAAAAAAAATTTTTACAATATTTATCTGAAAAAAATAGCTTCATAGACACATTTGTATTAGTTTCATGATCACTCCCAAAAAATTTCAAGACCATAGTTTGTATACTAAATGAAAAAAATGGGTACAAAATACGCGAATATAGTTACCGACCGAGTGCGTATAGAGGACCCTTAAAGATAGGAAATTTTTTTCTGGCTACTTTTGGGTTTTAGGGACCGAAAAGTTATGTTTTCGCGTAAATACGACAATTCACTCAATTTCTAAGTGGCTGAAAAAGTATCAAAACTAATTTCAGAAAATTGACTGACTATTTTGACCGATTTTGACCGACCGAGCATTAAAAGTGTAAAGTTAAATAACTTTTTTACTAGACTCATTATCGAAAAACGGCTCAGTGGAGCCCTCCGTATTGTTGCTGTGAACAACTGCACCAAATTTCAGCTAATTTCATCTGGTAGTTTTTCCGGAAAACAGGATCGAAATTTTTGACTAGTGTTTGCAAGATAAAAAATTTTGATCCGGTTTTCCGGGAAAACTACCCGATGAAATCGGCTGAAATTTGATTCAGTTGTTCACAGCAACTTTCGAAAATCAGCCTGAAAAAAAAAGTTACGAAAATATACATTTTCTGTGCTCGGTAGGTAAAGATTGTGGCCAAGGCATCACCTTAAATTTACGCATTTTTTCAGTTTCCTAGGACCTTCAAGAACAATACCCAATGTTCAAAGTATGCGTTCAACGAAAAAAAATTTTTACGTTTATAGTCAAAAAATTTGAAACTGAATATATATATATATAATAGTTATAATATATATATATATAATAGCTGATATATATATGGGTCAGAATAATACTTTTTTACAAAACCGTGCGCACGTATGTCACCGATCTTGACGCGCTTTTGGTATGTTATAGTACATGGTAAAAAGGTCCCAAAAAAAAATTTTTAGACCCCCTCCCCCCTCCTACCCCCCACTTCCGGTATAAACGTCCATTTTCGATCTATATTTTTTCTGAGGACTTGAAGCAAGTAAAAAATCTGAAAAAATTCATAAAAATACTTTTCCACAATCCAAACAACCTTGAATTTTTTCAGATTTTTTGAGTGCTTCAGGCCTTCAGATAAAATCATTGAAAATTTCAAAAATCGAGATACGGCGGTATGAGCCGATGTAGTACTCGGAAATTTTTTCAGTTATTTTTCGCATTAAAAAACATAACCTCAATTTTTTTCAGATTTTTTCAGATTACCTAACGCACCTTTTGAAGCCAAAAACCGATTTTTTTGACGAAAATAATTTTTTTAGGACAGTACGGAGCCTCGAAAAATCTGAAAAAAATTTTTTCTTGTTTTTTTCATCAAAATACGTAATCTCAAATTTTTTCAGATTTTTTAATTGAAGGCGATAGCTTCTAGGGCCGAAAAATGCTATTTTTAACAAAAAATGGTTCCTAGAACCCGATGGTTCCGGTGAAAAAATTTGAAAATATTTTTTTTGAATTCCTTGTCAAATTTTAATAAATTTTGACCGTTTCAAAAGTTCGATTGAAGCTTCCTAGCTCATTTTAGAGCATCAAACGAGTTTTATCATTCCTTAATGTCTTCAGAAACGTCTTCAGATATTTTGCACTAATCTTTGTCCTGCTCTAAAATGAGCTAGGAAGCTTCAATCGAACTTTTGAAACGGTCAAAATTTATTAAAATTTGACAAGGAATTCAAAAAAAATATTTTCAAATTTTTTCACCGGAACCATCGGGTTCTAGGAACCATTTTTTGTTAAAAATAGCATTTTTCGGCCCTAGAAGCTATCGCCTTCAATTAAAAAATCTGAAAAAATTTGAGATTACGTATTTTGATGAAAAAAACAAGAAAAAATTTTTTTCAGATTTTTCGAGGCTCCGTACTGTCCTAAAAAAATTATTTTCGTCAAAAAAATCGGTTTTTGGCTTCAAAAGGTGCGTTAGGTAATCTGAAAAAATCTGAAAAAAATTGAGGTTATGTTTTTTAATGCGAAAAATAACTGAAAAAATTTCCGAGTACTACATCGGCTCATACCGCCGTATCTCGATTTTTGAAATTTTCAATGATTTTATCTGAAGGCCTGAAGCACTCAAAAAATCTGAAAAAATTCAAGGTTGTTTGGATTGTGGAAAAGTATTTTTATGAATTTTTTCAGATTTTTTACTTGCTTCATGTCCTCAGAAAAAATATAGATCGAAAATGGACGTTTATACCGGAAGTGGGGGGTAGGAGGGGGGAGGGGGTCTAAAAATTTTTTTTTGGGATCTTCTTACCATGTACTATAACATACCAAAAGCGCGTCAAGATCGGTGACATAAGTGCGCACGGTTTTGTAAAAAAGTATTATTTTGACCCATATATATAATAGTTGTTACATATAGGCACCAGTGCAACATCGAGTGCAGATAGCTGCGGTTCGCAGGTTTTTGCAATGCTCGCGCATCCGCGAAGGAGTGGCAGTTATCTGCATTACCATTGTGGGCGGAAATTCGTCGAACTCCGAGGCTCGCGCTCGACAAAATTTAAAAGTCAAGATATTAATACAACTCACGGATTCGAGAGAATAAAGAAGTACAATAATACGTTGCATATAATTATTCGATTGTAACGAAATCAAATGATTTAGATGAAAAACCAAATTATTTGGCAGAATCAGTGTCGCGTTTTTGCGTCATTTGGGCAAAATTTTCGATTATCGTACCTACACAATAGGTTCAGTAATCATAGTTTAATTGGACTTTGACGATTGCACGATAAAACGTGTAATTCTCGTTCGTTATATTCGAATGAGAGATCCTATCAATAATTTTCTTTTTTTTGTTTTCAGCGAAGTGGCATCGCCATTTGTGAATTTCGCGCTAGTCGCGACGTTTCAAATCGATAGTTTAGTGTACACACACATTGTACAACAATAGCGCATAAGCAGCAAGCCGCAAAACAGACGATCCTCGTTGCACTCGTTGCTTCTTATATTATACAACGGCGCACAGCCGCCGCGGGCCTGCAGCGCTTTAGAATATAGAAAAGAGTGCGTGCAAACTCGCTGGAACAGCAGCGCAGCGCGGCGAAGATCAGCAGCAGTGAGGCAGTGAGCTAACGCAGACGCAGCAGCAGCCGAGCGGATCAATCAACGCAAACATCGTAGTCGTCGACGCGAACGCAGCAGCATCGTTTTTTCCCTCTCGCTTTAAAAGCAGCAGAGGGAAAAAGCCAAGCTCTGTAACAGCGTAGCAGAAGGCGTATACATTTACGTCGACACACACATACACACGCACACACAGAGCAGTCGCTTTTAGCAATATATATACGTATGCATGTATAAGTATATATAAGGTATATATATAAAGCGTGAGCAACGAGGGGGAGACGCGAGTCGAGACGAACTCCAAAGCAGTAGAGCACGAGCCGAGCTTCTGCACGGAGCTGTATACATATACGAGCTATATACAAGAAGGCTGAAAAGACTTGATAGCGCGCGACGCAAATGTATGTACACACGACCAAGATATAAACGTCAAAGAGGATTTGTCGTGCCTCGTGCATCTCGTACGCGCTAAAGCTCTCAAAACTTCGTCGAGTGCCAGTGTTTGTGTGTGTGTGTGTGTGTGTGTGTATGTGTGTGCGTGGTTTTCGTTGTTGTTCCGTGCAATTATGCTCGCTACTTGAAAAACGTCGGACGACATAGACGCTCGATAATATTATACATGTAGTATATACTCTCGCTGTCGTGCTGCACGCGGCCGGACAAAGTCCCGTGTGTCCGTGCTTGTTGTTGTTTTTTTGTCGTTCTGCTGATTTCATACACGATATACGTGCAACCACAGGCCAGCGTGCGGTACGCGCCTAGTGGGGTTGTTGTCGCACGAGAGTTATCGCGAAACACGCGTCGTCGTCTTCGTCGACTTGGACTCCGCTGATAAATTCGGAGCCAATAGCTATTTGGAGCTGTGTCGATGCAGTGCAGCCTGTGCAACGACGACGTTGGCGTATTGATACAGCAGCAGCAACAGCAGCTTAGTACAGTCAGCGAGTAAATTCGAGTATCGTGATTGTTTTATCACACACGCGCGCGCGCGACACACGGACACAATACAGCGAGCGCGGTATCTGACACTCGCTGCAGTTGATGCCGAGAGCAATATAAAGAGCGCGGCTGGCCCGAGTATAGGTTCGAGAGATCGAAGCGATGAACGGAGGCTCGTACCGCGTCTCGGACCAGCAGCAGCAGCAGCAACAGCAGCATCAGACGACGAGATTCGCCGACTACTTTGTCATCTGCGGCCTTGACAAAGACTCCGGCCTCGAGCCCGACAAATATTTTGGTGAGTCGTCGTCGCTATTCTGCTATTCGACTAATGCATCCTGTTTTACTTTTCTCTTTCTGCGTCTGTCTCTCTTTTGTTCTGTTTTCTCTCTCTCTCTCTCTCTCTGCACATGTTACGCTGCATGTATTTGTGAGTAAAATATAGATATACGCGCGAAGCAGCAGCGAGCGCAAGGCTCGCACCCCCGCGCACAGCCACAGTACGCACTACGCATACACGGCGCGCTTTGCTCTTTTTAACCCCTCTGCCTCGACTTCGTATTATATTATATGCCCACCTAAACCTCGATTCGTGTACGCACGATAGCAAGCAAATTCGCCCTTATACGTGATTGTAAGAGTACACGATTGAGCATAGCGCGTATACAATTGATGATGTACAACGAGTGCATTGTGCAATGCGTAAGGTGCAACATTATATACTCACAGTCCGGGACGAGGCTCCGTCTCGGAGTGAAAAATTTGCCTCGAGCTCGGTGATAATTATAGACGCGTTTAATTTTTCCACATCGTCGTCGCCGTGTGCACATCGGCCCCCCCATCTGCCTCGCGAGATTATGGGTTTTTCATCGCGTTTCTCCCGCTTGCGAAAATCGCGCACGATGATGCACCCGGCTATTCCATGCGTAAAAAATACCAATCATTTGTTACGCGGCTTACTGCACACGCACGCATACATACGACACGCCTATGAAGCTTGTAAAATCGAATCAATTTTTCCACTCTCGTATACCGAGACCGTTTGCCACTGCACGTGTAAGTGTCAGTCTGCGTTACGCGCGCCGCGTGCCCGTCTGTCTGTGTGTGCGCGCGCGTGTGTGCATACAAAGCTCGCGTGTGTGCACCGCGCGAGAGAGGTGAAAGTCACCTGCAGCGCCGAGCGAGTCTATAATAATAAAAGGTTTTAAATTTGCATTCTCCATGACGCGCGCGCGTGTGTACGTATAATTTTTTCGCTTTAGATATTTCGCGCTCCGCGTAAGCTCGCGAGGAAAGTTGCGTCAAGCTCTTTCTCGTTTACGATATGTACTTTAGATTTTGATAAACACACATATATTCGACCCGAACGATACACGCATCTCTCGCGAATATTATATTCGGTTTATCCGTATCGACGATTCTCAAGCAACGACTACGTATTATAAATCAAAAACTGCGACGCACATCCTATATTTCACAATTTCGAGAAAGAGCGCGCGAGATGAAGAAGAGTGTGCGCGAGAGAGCGCAAAAGCTTCGATATTCTAAGTTCGTGCTTGCGTGCGCGCGATTTAGAGAGCGACTTGCGATTATACGTCTTTTTGCCGTTGTCGTCTTTCTTCTTCTTATTCGCTGCGTCACAAGCCTCGTCGGGTCGTTGTCTTCGTTAAAAAATCTTCTTATTTTAATATAACGTATATATACGGTCGTCTAACGTAACGCAGTGAGTAACGAAGTTTTACTCGGCCGTTTGCGTTTCGGGCGTGCACCGCGAGGTCGTTGACTCGCTCGCCCTTCTCTCTCTCTCTCTCTCTCTCTAACACTCACTCGCTTTCTTATTTTGCACTCTAGTAGAGTACGATTGTATACGTACGTGTGTGCAGTGCGATACATATATATATATATATATATATATATATATGGGCGATTCTCTGTGAAATCGAATGGCCAAAAAATTTTTTTTTCTGCAAATATGAAAAACTTGCTGTTCCCGATGTCAGAAATGTCCCCAAATTTTATTAGAATTTTTGGGACCATCTATCACTCTTTTTCAGGGGCCCGAAGTTGGCCATTTTAGGGTTTTTTTGAAATTCATGAAAAATCACAAATATTAAAATAATTCCTGGATTAAAGTAGAATGATTCAAAAGTAAAAGTGCCCAGCAACTTTTTTGTTGGAAATTGTCCAAATTTTCAGAAAAAAAATATGCCAAAGTGATTGGAACAATCTAGGTAAATGTAAAGCAAAAAAACTAAAAAAAAAACATAAAACAAGAAATCTACTCGAGTTCGAACCGGACTTTCATTTCCTAAACTATGTAAAAAGCTTCCCAAAGATGTCAACTAATGCCTGATAAAGTTTTGTAATGGGTCTTAAAGTTTAACGCAATGTAGACAACAATGTGTGGCGAAAAACATGCAAAAAAGGCCTGAAAATGGCTGTTTTTGGTGATTTTAGGCATTTTGGGCCTATTTTTGACCTTTTTTGCATGTTTTTCGCCACACATTGTTGTCTACATTGCGTTAAACTTTAAGACCCATTACAAAACTTTATCAGGCAGTAGTTGACATCTTTGGGAAGCTTTTTACATAGTTTAGGAAATGAAAGTCCGGTTCGAACTCGAGTAGATTTCTTGTTTTATGTTTTTTTTGCAGTTTTTTTGCTTTACATTTACCTAGATTGTTCCAATCACTTTGGCATATTTTTTTTCTGAAAATTTGGACAATTTCCAACAAAAAAGTTGCTGGGCACTTTTACTTTTGAATCATTCTACCCTGATCCAGGAATTATTTGAATATTTGTGATTTTTCATGAATTTCAAAAAAACCCTAAAATGGCCAACTTCGGGCCCCTGAAAAAGAGTGATAGATGGTCCCAAAAATTCTAATAAAATTTGGGGACATTTCTGACATCGGGAACAGCAAGTTTTTCATATTTGCAGAAAAAAAAATTTTTTGGCCATTCGATTTCACAGAGAATCGGCCATATATATTGCAGCAGCCACGCTATTATATACTATGCACTGCTACGTAGCCGCTAAATGCTGTATATGTGCGAGTAGTTGGGTGTATATAAATACAACATCACGCGAGCTTCGCGCACGCCTGCCTTTACAATAGTTTCGGACCTGCGGACGTTTTCACGATCGCTCGCTCGCGTATACATTTGGTGTATATATACGGCGTCGTGAACTTGACATTAACTGCCGAGCAATATTCGCCTTTCTATACTTGCTCCAGTATTTTATACACCTATCTGAACATTTATGTGTATGGACGCTTTTGAATTTTCATCAGCTCGTGCTTCTAAATATTATATCCGCACACACGCTTGGATGTGTAGCGAGCAGCGCAAGATCGTCCCGTCACGCCTCGATCGCGCCGCTTGTACAAACCGCTATATAGCAAATCAGCAGCAGAAGCAGCAGTGCGCATTAGAGCGATAACGTCGTTGATTTAGATGTTTTGCGCGTTCGAATCGTATATATTTATGCCTCGTGTACGCGATCTGCCCAAATAAAGTATAATATTACAGTCGAGTCGAGTGGAGCAAAAGAAAAAGCTCGCCACGGTGGCAGCTACTGCTACCACTACTGCAAGCTCGGTGTGCTTTCGCTGCTCGCGTGGCATGTAATATCAAGTATTTATCGTTTCGTCCCAGTTATTTCGCGAGCGAGAAAAGTTCACCGTTTCGAAAATGATGCTATGCATACTGTGTATCTCTCGCTCGCAGCGCATTATATATACGTAATACCGCGCGCTCACGAACGGGTGCACTGGAGCGCGCGGGTGGGAATAGAGCTCGGGCGCGCGCGTTATATGTCACACACAGTGCTCGGGCACACGTAAGAAGCATTGCACACAGCAGCAGCAGCAGCCAAGTTGCGAACTTGTTAACTGCAGCGCGTGGAGTAGGAATGTTCCACAGGCAGCGGCACAGGCCAGACGATGAAAAATGCATTTCGAATTCGGATCTTCTAGATTATATATGTATATATAGAGAGAGAGAGAGAGAGAGTTGTCGAGGTTTCGAACGGCACGAAACTGACGCGACGCTATTCAGTATAGACTGCGCTATGTGGTGCAGTAAGTACTTGGGCTTAGTCTAGCGCACGATTCCTCGATAGAATTTCAAAATAACGGCGCCCTGTTCTTTGATCCAGACTTTGCGAATGTTTTGATGCAGCTTGCAAAGAGCTTGCAAAATACTTTTAAAAAAATACAACGTTCAGCGATCCTCGCGCGCACGTGTGTGGTCCACTTCAGAGCTGTTTCTCTTCACCGCGATGCTTCAACATATTTATATAAACACGGCCTCCTCGGTGCATACAACAACGAGCTCTCTTTACGCTTCTTCATTTTGTAGCCAAAGGTAATAGACTCGCGTCTCATGCGGGAGGCGAACATAGCACTGAGCAAATATCCCGTGTACCCGCGCGTCCTGTCCTCTACATATAGGATTCCGTGTGTGCGGCAAGTAAGTAAGTAGCCTCGTACATAAAGCTACGAGCAGCATGAGAACTCGAGGGAACAACGACGCGCACTGCTACAAAAGTACGCAGCAGCTTTATGTACGAGCGTATTCGTTTCCTCACGCTGCGAGAAAATGATCCAAAATCTATCTCTGTCGGACGTCGCGCTGCGCGCCAAAGTTAACAATAGTCGCTGCTGAGCAGCCCCTCTGTGTTGCGAGCGATTTTTTCCTCTCCTTCTTTCTCTTTTTTTTAATGTACAGCACACAACAAAGAAAGAAAACGAACGCAGTGCGGGCGTCGGATTTTCATTGTTAGCAGTTGCTTCTTAGAAAATTGCTAAATCATACTGTACACAGGTTGGCTTTTTTCAGAAATGTGCTTCCATTCAGAGCGATCTACTGCTGCTGCTGATGCCTCTTTGTCGACATCGCGAAGCGATCATCGACGCAACGACGTGATTTCTGTATTTTTCTCCCTCTCCGCGAGCTCCAGTTGAATTAGGTTCAATTAAGTCGCAGTGCGCAGACGATGTTGCTTTCAATGATACATGTATACACGAACTAATCTGCATTTGGCTCCGTTTTTATATAGAATACATTACAGGCTCGTACTCAAGGTCCCAAAAGATTACACCTCGCATCTTTGTTGTATACAAACGAGCGTCGTATAGAGAGTCCGAGACATCTGCTCAGCGTTAAATTTCAAGCTGTTATGAAAATCTCGCGCGCGAGATGACAGTTCATAATATAATTGGTATAAGTGCAAGTATACGTGTACGAATGTAAACCTTGACTCAATTTTTATCGCAACTCCTGCCTCGAGTC